TTTTTTAATTCGTTTTTGTAATAAAAAATGCTGTTGAGAAAGTTTTTTTGTTCTCTCTCTCTCTCTCAATATTACAGGTGGTATGCATATAAATATTCGAGAATTTATGTTCGCATCCTTAGTGAATGTTTTTGAAAAAACGATTGCCACGCACATAAAGAAGAAAAATCAACATAAAAAATGTTTCAAGTCCTCAATTAAGGAGAAGAACACAGTTGGAGCATATTTTAATATATTTATTCTGTCAGGATAACTCACCGTCACGAAGCACAACTGCAGCGATAAGTGAATTGTGCAATAAGGCAGAATAGTGTCCGTTTCCATGAGTGTGCTATTATATGTGGCGATCAGTTTTGTACTATTATTAGTAGATAAACTATATTGACAAATAACGAGTGAGCGTTTTTGCGCCGCACAGAAGACGATAAAAAGTGCTCAGTATTTGGAATTTCCTTCGTTTTATAATTGAAACTATTTTATTAAACTGAGCTCAAAATACGATGTACTTTATCAATTTTTAGGAGAAGAAGACTAAATGACATAAAGGATCCGCTTTGGCAATATGAAAAATATTGTCTGCTTCGTCAATCTCCAACTCCTGCTTTTAGCACAATTCAGTCAACAACTTGATTCCGCTCACAATTAACCCTTCAATCAAACATGTGACTCACCTTGCAGTACAATACATAAAAATTGTACAATATTGTCCGACTACTATTATATAAATCATCAATGTTATTCGGCTAATGATCATAGCAGTTGGCCTTATCGTTTCCTTCGTTTTACCACCTGTAATATTGAGAGAGAGAGAGAGAACAAAAAAACTTTCTCAACAGCATTTTTTATTACAAAAACGAATTAAAAAATAATGAAACAGGAAATAAATTAGTAAGAAGTTTGAAAAATCCTTGTTTAAAGCTTTTGTCTGAATAACTTTTTTAAACAATGTTCGCCTCGCGATAACCAGAATCACTCAACTCATCCGCGAAGAAGGACAGACAGTAATGAGCCAGTACTCCCATAATATCATAGAAGTAATAGATTTATGTGAGATTTGCTATGCACGAAAAGTTAAGAAATATAGTTCACTTTAATAAGACTTTCTTGTTATTCTTCAATTTGAATGCAAAACGTGCTATAAAAAATTAAATTATATGACTTGTATTATTAACAATGACACTGAGACAAAGAGAAAGAACAGAACAACGGAAATAGCATGGTTGAATACTTGTGTACACGTGCTATTAATCATTGAACTCGCATTATTTTCATTGAATGGAAAAACTAGTAACATTTTCAGACTTTCTTTCTGAAATTCCAGTTGCAGTTAAAAAGCAGTTAACTGTAACTAGGCATGCACGAGTCCAATCTGACTGTGGATTGGTAGGATTGGTACCAGTCGGGCTTGTTATCAGTTAGGCTTGGGTTTCAAAAAATATACGAAATACGAGACTCAGTTTGATATAGCCACCTCACATAATAAAATTTTTGAGTGCAAATACAGTAGTTTGCTAAATTCTTTGCAAATGAAAAATGAATTTTCTATACATTTTTACTTTCATTTCCAAGCATCGAGTAATATAAAGCAAGAAATTTTTCATAGGCGATAGTGGAAGTGAAGTTGGTCTATTAATTAAATAATTTTGAAACGACGGCTAGTGGACTCAAAATAACCTCGTCAACAGAAAAATAAGAATAAACTTCTGAGAGAGTGTTTAACTGTGGTGCATGCCTAACTGTAACTGCTAAACTGTAGAACTGCTACATTTGATCATCGAAACCGATCATAACTGTCAGAAAAAATTTATACAGGAGGTAGAAAATCGAAAAAGAAAATTCGTGTTGCTCAGGATATTGTGTTATGCTCTTTTATGGATTTTCTGATAAACTCTAGTTTTCATCCAGTCACATTACGACTCCTTGAAAAAATAGTCCTATCGAGCTCAACTTTTTACCACAGACACTTCATACTCTCTCAGGTTCTAAATCCCTCTTAAGCGTTTTCAAGTTGAACTTTCAACCTGAGAAGGCTTTTGAAATCAAAGATCGCCTTGTGCACTTTTTACATAGAATTTTTAGCATTTTTCGAAGGAAAGCATATTTTTTGAAAAAAAATTGGAACATGAGATGGGCTCTGCGTTATCTGTAGTAAACAGTTGAGCTCGATAAGACTATTTTTTCAAGAAGTCGTAATGTGACTAGATGAAAGTTAGAGTTTATTAGAAAACCCATAAAAGAGCATAACACAATAATCCTGAGCAACACTGATTTTCTTTTTCGATATTCTACCTATCGTATAAATTTTTTCTGACAATTATGATCAGTTTCGATGATCAAATGTAGCAGTTCTACAGTTTAGTAGTTACAGTCAGTGGCGGATCCAGGATTCTACCAACGGGGTAGCGATTTCTCAACGAAGTCATCCGAGGTAGTATGAATATATTTTCTAAGGAAATCTGGTAGTGTACTCGTATTAGAATTCCATTTGCGAGGGAGCGGCGGTCGCTGGACCGCTACTGGGTACAGTTAACTGCTTTTTAACTACTGGTGCGTACCTACAACATAGTAGTCTTACCATTGGTATACGAAAAGTCCGTTAATATGAAACGTTAAGTAGTAATTATGAAGGAGGCAATGCTTTTTTAGTTAAAGGACGGCGCACGATTTGTGCAAGAAAATGACCGAATATATTTTTGAGAAGATAACTAATGAAACTGATAAGGAACCGTTTGTTATTTAACTTTTAATTTTTCGCGCTGATTGTAGACTACTATATACTAAAATTTTTAATCATTTCTAAGCATCGGTTCAGAACGTCTATTCGATCGTATTTATTCATTTATTTTATATATCATCATTGATTTAAAGAGGATTGTACTATAGTAAATACTTTTCCTTTTTGACAGATCTTTGAGACTCTACGTACTTAGCAGACAGCTTCCTAAACTGATAATCATCACCTCTTTTTCTCATTCTGAGAAACTTATTTTATTTGAATTAAAAACGTTAGAGCAGTTTATCACATACAATTGTACGTTTTTCTTGACTACTTTGTTGAGCTAACTCAATTAATCGTATAATATTATAACCATCTTCCACTCGAATTTTTAATGGTTGACTATGCACAATTGTTTGATACAAATCTTCGTAGAATGAACCATAATCCCCATTTAGAGTTGGATATTTTTCTTTTATGATTTGTCCGTCACTGATTTCTGTATGCAACAGTCCCCAATCATGTTCCGGTTCTTTTCCCCAATCTCGATCATTAATATCAGGAATTCGTCCAGACTTCAGCTCATTTTCTTGTACATCATCGCCATATTTCAAGAAAGAACCTTTTGTTCCATGAATTTGATACCGTGGACCCATTTCTCTAACAAACATAGATGCTTTGAGTATAACGCGTAATCGACGTTGTTCACCATATTCTAATCTAATGTCAAAATAATCATCGGATTGTGCATTTAAACGTTGTTTCCGTACATCAGCTGTAATTGTTTTTGGATGTCCAAATAGGCATAAAGCTTGATCAATCAAGTGTGACCCTAAATCATAAAGGATACCGCTTCCTGGTCCACTTTGTTCTCTCCAAATACTGCCACTAGTTTTCAGTTGTGGACGATAACGATCAAAATGAATTTCCATTTCTACAATTTCTTCACCCAATAATTTTTGATCAATTATTTGCCGGATTGTACGAAAACCACTATCATAGCGACGATTTTGATACGGATACAAAACATATTTTCCTTGTTGTTTTTGAACTAATTGAATTAATTCTAATGCTTCATCAGTTGAAACTGTGAACGGTTTTTCCATAATGACATGTTTTCCTCTTTCTAAAGCCTCTTTGGCTAATGGAAAATGAGAAGCGTTTGGTGTTGTAATAACGATTAAATCAATTTCAGGATCATTCATTAATTCACTAGTTGAACGATAGATTTTAACCGTAGGATAAATTTTCTGTGCTTCATCAGTGTGACGTTCAACAATTGTCGAAAGCTCGTAATTGGGTGATGCTGATAAGAATGGCGCATGAAATACACGACCCGATAGACCAAAACCAATCACACCCGCACGAAGTTTTCTGTTGGATGACACTGATGATAACGACATCTGAAAAATACAATCAAAAATGCGTATTAAGTTCATTTGTCGAACGGGAGTTATCTCTCTCATTAAGACGAATTATTATTTTAAAGTTAAGATAACCTGCTACACAGTTTGCAAGTTGTTTCTATTTTCTGGTTCTCTTTTGTGTAAGAAACTCTAGGATAGAAAAGAAAAAAATTTACTACTTCTCAGATCTATGAAAACGGTGTTGTTAACGATTGTTTAAACCATCGTTCAATGAACGTTTTCTTTAAAATGTTTATTTTTGATTACCTAATTTCAAAAAATATTGTTTTAACTATCTTTAGTGTAAATTCTAAGATAAACAGCAACTTATTCTAATAAACTGAATTCGAAACCGAGACAAAACTGTTCGTTTTTTTCACCGTCACTTAGAATTCGTATTTGCACTACATCGAAAACGATTAAATTAATATATAAAACTTCCAATAGTCGTTTCTTAATCAAATCTGCTTTTATCTGTCTACTCTTCTAACATTCCGCATCCCGTCGAAAGTACGCTTATACCTTTGATATATGCTAAAAAAGCTGTAAAAGCATTGAGAAACGCGGGATTCGTATGTCTGTGAGAATAAAACGGTACAGAGTGTGTTCACATACACAAGATTATCTGGGGGTACTCAGCAACACCTAGAAGCAAAAATCCTTCTGCACCAGAAGCATTGTTCATTCAATATCTGCTTGTAGAAAATAGAGTTTTTCGTTTAAAAACACTTCGAGATAAAAAACACTTCGAGTAATCTCAATTTTTTAGTTTAATAAACTTTTATCTCTATTTCTGTAGATGTAAAATTTTTCTTACACATAGTCTGACAGAAGAAAGTCTTTTTGTTCACAATGAGACGTTTTACAGAATTTTCCGATGAGTTTTCGCGGAGATATAAGTATCGCGGCAAATGCTTTGAAAAAAGTGATCTATGTACAAAATGCATTTTTTCTCGAAAAATATTTTTTTGGTACTCGCTCTGGCTAGCCATCTCTGCTACCGGAGTGAAATTCCGTAACGATTTTTTTGCATTTTGTTTTTCTTATAATGTTTGTGTAACGAGACGCCTAGAGATCTAGAATATCACAGATGAAAGAGAAAAGTGTGCTAAAGATTCCGAGATGTTCTTACAGTCTACACATTCTTTCATTCAGAAACTATGAGAAAAATACAAACACCTACTTTTTCGGTTAAGTTTTGGAAAGTAGGTATTTGTACCCCCGATTTTTTGGAATTTTATTTTAGACTTTTCTTGACCTATTTATAGGTTTCTAAAATTGAAGAACTTGGTTTTCGAGACGTTTTCAGTATTTTTCCTATAACTCGACCAGGAAAGGTTTTAAAAGAATTTCCTAAAAAGAAACTCTGCGGAATGACCTTGAGTACCTCTGGTAAAATTTTTAACTCGATTGGATGAAATTTAAGGGGGGTCGTAATGTGGCACAATGAAAAACCGAGTCTTCTGAAAAACTGGTGAACGGCAATAGTTGAAAACTTGAAACAAAAATGAAAAAGTGCTCCATTGAGGTTTCAATCAGTTCTGAAAATACGAAGCCCTAGAGAGACTTTTAATTTTTATTTCACAGCAGTTCTAGGGAACGCCCAAAAAGAGGGGAAGAAGTACCCTTAACGTCATAAAGACACTATACCAGCGGACACAGTTTGTCGAGCACAGATGAACAAAGGATAAACTTGACCGTACATGCTAGAAATTATCTTCAAAACTTAATATTTCGTTCTTTTATCGAGTCATATAAAGTAACTCAATTCATGAGTTAAAACGGAACCATAGATACAACGCTGGGTAATAGTAAAACATGAAGACACCCACAGACAGCACACAGACACCCACAAACAGCCACAGACAGCACACATACAACCACAGGCAGCTACACAGACATCCATGGATGTCTGTGTTTGGATGTCTGTGTAGCTGTCTGTGGCTGTCTGTGGTTGTATGCGTGCTGTCTGTGGCTGTCTGTGGGTGTCTGTGTGCTGTCTGTGGGTGTCTGTGTGCTGTCTGTGGCTGTCTGTGGGTGTCTGTGTGCTGTCTGTGGGTGTCTTCATGTTTTACTATTATCCTACAACGCTTATGTCCATAATCTCTGATTTCTTTGATTGTTCATAATGCGGCCATAATTATCGCTAAGGAGACACGATCAAAGATGAAAATGTAAAACCATAGCTACACTTAACGTCCCGAAGGTTGCCAATAAACATTACACAGAATGATACCCGTCAGAGCGCCAAGCCTAAAATGCATAATAGAATAACGTTATCCTCAATTCAAAATCTTAAATTTTGTCCACATTATGTCTGGAAGACTGTATCTCAATCAGAGAACTTATCCCTAAAATATTTTCTTAATCAAGCGCTTCCTTCTTTAGTAGGTCGTCTGTGCAAAAATGTCGTATACAGGAGAGTAGTACATGGAAACGATGTTCAATATGGTTGATTTCTATGACTTTATTGCGTTATCAACAGGCTCATTTTTTAAGTCAATCGTCACATGCATAGACGACCTACTAAGGAAGGAAGCGCTTGATTAAGAAAATATTTCAGGGATAAGTTCTCTGATTGAGATACATTCTTTCAGACATAATGTGGGCAAAATTTAAGATTTTGAATTGAGGACAACGTTATTCTATTATGCATTTTAGGCTTGGCGCTCTGACTGTACTCCGCTTTACTAACTATCTGAAGCCCTATCTGAAGTTTTGTTACTCAAATCGCTATAAATTCACGAGGTGAAATTTTCATGATAGAATCTTTCAGTAAAATTTTAGTTTTGATCCCTTTTTAAAATATTAAAATTCCTGTTCCCTTGACTTTAGTCTAGGGTCTTACAAAATGGTTCTCTGTGTGTGTGTGTGCGCAAAATACGAAAAAATGACTGTCAGATATTTTATGGATAAGCCAATCAAAAGCGAGAAGCATAAAAAATTTCTTTTTAACTACGCGAGAGAAAATATTCAAAGAGACAACCTGAAATATCTACTGATCCAGAGAGAAAAAAAGCTAAGCAAACGTTTTCTGTAGGCCCGGGATACATGTCGCCAGATAGCAGTCAACTGTAATAATACAAAAAAAGTCGCCTACGGATAATAAAACTTACAGAGTATAGATAATCTATCATAGCGAATTGATTAAAAATATTTTCAGTCTCCGTAGGATCCGTAGAGGGTGTCCAGAATACCTTTTAGCTTTATTTACATTACATGGTTCTTCCGTGGAATCAGAGAAGTTCACAGCGTTCCTCAGCTATAGTGGCTATGAACGCCGACCGAAGGGAGACGTGAGCATTGCTTTGAATTCAGAAATATTTTTAGACCTTTGGGGTTTTTGCTTTTTATATTTATATTAGATTACGATCCTTACCCATGAAAACAGAAAAAATTCAAGAAGATGGCTTAGTTGGGTCCCCAGCGGCCGCCGACCGAAGGGAGGCTTGAGCATTGTCTTCGATTTAAAAGTCACGAAAGGGCGTTCAGTAGCGCAGATCCAGGTTATTAAAGTCAAGGGACCAAGCGAGTGGAGAGCAGTGTTACCTTGTTATTATTCCCTTGACTCTAGTCTAGGATCTTACAAAATAGTTCTCTGCGTGTGTGACAGACAGTGTATCTGTCCGTGAGCAAAATATGGAAAAATGACTGTAAGATATTTCGTGGATAAGCCAGTCACAAAAGAGGAATAATAGAAAATTTTTTTAAAGAAAAATTATTTTTACACGAGAGAGGAAATATTCAAAGAGATGACTGAAATAATATTCTTTACTGATGTTGGGGAAAAAAAAGCTAAGCAAACTTTTCCTGTTGCTGGGTGATAGATGTCGCGAGAATTTAGTAAATTTTGATAACAGAAGAAAAAGTCATCTAATAGATGACAAGAAGTGAATACAAAGTTAAATTTAAGTAAAGTGTGTCTACTTGTACACTTTTTACAGATCCCTGATAGATGGCAGCAACATGTGATAATGTATGTGTTGTAACATTTGAAAAGTATCTTTGGACTTTTTGGATTTAAAAAATGCCGAGCATACACATATATCTCCGCAAATATATTGTGTTGGGGTTGTCTCGATAAAGTGGTATTAAAGGATTAATTGCGAATATAGAATGCAAAAAATTGTATTCATTCAAAGTGAAGTCATATTTTTATATGGTTTATTGTGTGTGCACTTGAAATGAAATCTTAGCAGTGAAATGAGTCGCATTTCCTACGAGAAAATTGTACCCCAAGATTTTCCGGCTCACTTCATATGTATACATCGCGGTAGTCAAGACTTACGTTAGTTCCGAGTCTCATATGGGTGTCCGCTACTAGGACAGAATGGTAACTTCGCACGAGTATATTTCTTGAATACAAAATCAGTTATTGTGATTGGTGATACAACAATCAAGAATTAGCACGGTTATTAACCTACAGAAATAGTGAACTTGATGAGTGCATTTGTGACCGTGATGAGCAACAAGAAGTGAACGAACAATAACAGGTGGAATAATTCATTTTGAACCCAGATTATAATGAAAATGAAAATGATCATTCGCAGTTAGCACAGCTCAATGCGCAAGAAATAAATGAATATCAACTCGTTGGTAAAGGGAAGCGTCCACAAAGTGAATCATTAATATATTAATTCATCTTCTTATTTAGATTTGTTCATTGATCTAAAAGCAACATTTTTTTTGCATTCCACTTCTAAACGAAAAAGACACAACAGTGTTCGACGATATCGTGTTCTTTTGTGCTTTGCTTCTTTCTGTTCTATCCTTATCTCTCTCAAAAATCTCTCTCTCTCTCTCTCATCATTCACTGGTGTTCTCTTTCTCAACCTTCTGCATAGCACTCTCATATATCGTGTTATAACTGAGAACATCTTGAATTGTTGGGGCAAATCATTCCCAGATCAACCTAAATAATGACGCAAATAATGTTGGTTTTTATCAGTTGGGGAGAGGTCAGGATGAGGCTTAAATGTCAAATTTTCGTAGACCTATATCTTGAGAAGGCCGTATCCCAGGTAGTTTAAAACCTTTCATACACCTACGTTTCACCTCTCGTTTAGTTCCTGAAACTTTTAGGCTAGAATAAACTCAGGAGAGAAAAGTTATGATACGATACTTATTTTTGACTGCTACTCTATTTTCAGGCACTCATATAACTACTTATATTTTATCTCAGTTATCTGCGTCAAAGTTAACGAACGTATTACAAAATTCATAGAACATGCATCGAAATTGATAGTATGTTTTACCTGTTTTAGCACAGCCAGTTATGTACTGAGAAGAAGTAGTAGATTTTTATTTTAATACACTGATTTTTATCTGTTGCTACGCTAATTCATGATCTGTGCCTGTTATCCCTGCGAAAATAGTGACTGTTCCTGTTCTCCATTATCCCATAATGGAAGACTGCTTAGTCTTTTATGATAGTTGCAAGCGCACAAGGAGAAACACCATGCATGATCACTATATATTTTATAATGATTTGGAAAACGAATGATGAATCACAGCAATCCTTGAAAATATCCGAAAATCAAGAGTTCATTCATAACACATCAAAAGTTTAGAGACAACATCTATAATATGTTCGCTTGCTGTTTGAAAATACTGATTTCGAATTCTATGTGTCTTACTTGGTATAATTAAAGCACTATTTGGATCACCATAGCCCTTCCAGAGTAAATTTGTATAAAAGGATAAAGTGTGCATGAGAGTTTTCAACTGGCACGACATCACATTTTGGATAGTGTTCCGTTGAATATCAACAATTGCTATACCAAATTTTTCCATGCACGTTCATATTTGCATCGTTTATGATATTCTAGAAGAAAGTTTTGAATATAAGTTTCTGGTAGTGATGTGGACGAGGAATCATCCTCATTTCCAACCATCCTCATCCTCCCTCCCGAAGGCCACTCATTTGCACAAATACACCAGCGTAGTTGGTTGACTTGAGACGCTAAACTCTGCTCTGTTCCAACTTTATACAACTCACTGAGCGACTGAACTGTTGTTATAGCTATTCTCATATGAATCCTCATATAGCGTCGTTGAAGGCTTAATTTATCCCTTTGTTTTTTTACACAGTTCATGAAGGATTTACATATTTTAGTGAAATATGGAACAGGAGTTGAAACAAAATCCAAACATAAAACAAGTCCATATAAATAGTTTTCCAATGCCATCCAATAATCATGCTTATACTCATGGACCAATCCAATACTATTATATGTATGCGGAATTTCTAAAACATCATTATTTTCTTGTTCAAGTTTGAGTTTACGTTTATAGTATAGTAATGCTTCAACATAGCTGCCTATCTGTTCATGGATCCATCCAATCGAATAATACGTCAGCTGAACCGATGAATTTTCATTACATAGATACGGATAGATACTATCTTTGCTTGACTCATAAGAGTGTCCAGACATCAAACAGTTATTTTCTAGTGCTATTTCAAGTGTTTTATTATATGAATGTAACGACTTTTCATACATGCATAACTTTTCAAATATATAGCCTATGTTCTCATAAGTTTTCATTCTTAATAAATAATTTGTGCTCACATCAAGAACTTTATCATAGCATTCTAATGCTAACGTAAAGTCGAGAGGTAGTGGTAAACATAAATTGGTCATGCATTCGTATGCGTCGCCCAGTATATAAAACATCTTCGATACAATAACTGAATACATTGGATCTATTGTTATTATAAGTTGTAGCAAAAGTTCAAATCCTCGTTTATAAAGGATAATTGCTTGTTTGAAATGAGAGGTTTCGTAATGATGAAATGCAAACCAAATTTCAAGAATGCTGGAACCATAAGAATGTGATGGTAATTGTTTCAGAAATGATTTAATTATTTCTTTTTGTTCATCATTGTATTCATAACGACAAAAGTGTTCTTCTGAACATTCTATTGCTGTCTCAAGTCCATCGTTTATATCATAACTCCAGTCGAATACTTCACTAAGTGGTTCATTATTTAATTCCATAGTAATCTGCCAAACACTATTTCGATTGTCGGTGGATGGCAACTCCTCAATGGTGTTAATGGTAAATAGGGTGCCCATTGAAAATAGTATTTCGTCTTCATCCTTGAAATAGCTTAAATTTTCAATATTAACAAACGGTTTTAATTCAATAGAATCATAAATCGAATCCAAATCAATCTCGGTCATATCACGATATCTATCTATATATTCATTGAGATAAACGTGTATTTCAAATATGACAGCAACATAGTCACAATTACTTTCACCAGCAAATATAACAGCAAGCTCACGATTACGTGTTGTTGATAAGAATGTATTCATCAACATATTTTTATCAATATTGTTTTTTAATTTTAAGAATTCATAATGTGTTAATCTTTGTCCCCGATAAACAATCATTTCATGTATTGGTAGGGGCAATACTTGAAGTACATCCTTGTTCAAGCAGGAAAAGCATTACAGAGATATACATTAAATAGATAATTTGAAAAGACTGCACATCCCTGGACCATGTTTTTTCAACTTATTTATTCTAATAGCTTTTTTATAAACGACGTCTTTTTATCTCTTGCTAGATAAAAAGACGTCGTTTAATCCTTTTATATTAATTCGAACCTAAAGAAAGATAGATGGCCAACGTTTCTATTGCTAAAGTGATTGGAAAATATTTCGCTTAGTGTCCTTTTTATGGATACAACTCACAGAAAGACGTTTCTATATACCCTTGTGAGAGTCTCGGTTTCATCGCAGATCTATTAACTGAGCTCAACTTTTGAAAATTTGAGATTGCTTTTGTTCGTGTACTATATCTGTCTTACCTAAAGACGAATGGTAAGAGAATACAACAAGCGTTAGAACTATAACACAAATAAAAAGTTTTGTAAGTTGTGTTCATTTCTTCTGACCATGCTTTTGCCGTTACGATATATGTACCGTGATTTTTTGATTCCTGATCACGTCTATCAACTTTTACTTTAAATAGAAGACATAAAAATATGGACAGCTGAACAAGAGAGAGTAGAAATATACATTTACTTTTTGAAGACTTCCTTAAAGTTAGGAAGGTGAATTATTTGTAGTCATATTTTGCATAGTTTCTGATAGATATAGTGCGAGTGGATCAGGCTTATCATTTGGACAACCAAGAATATGAATATATGAATGGATACGATCGTGAAAGTGTCTAAGAAAGCCTGCACAAATTGCATTCGAAAATAAAGTATCAGTTTTAGGAGAATAATCAGTTTTTACAAAATCACTAGATGGAGTTAGAGACTTGATGTATAAATAATGATATTTACACAACTGTTGATAGAGGTCAACTATAAAAAAATCAAAAGCACAAACGTCGTCAATATTTTGTTTTCGTATTGCCTGATTAACTAAACGGTAGACGAAACAGTCTCGTGTATACCAGTAGATAGCTTGATCTGGCTTATAATTTGCTTCAAAATCATTGATTTTGATCAATTCTGCTTTATCGTTTGAATATTTTTCTCGACATATTTTAATCATTTCTTCTTTTGCATCCATTACACGACGTTTTTTGCATAAATTATGAAATAATCTATGCTTTATAAAGGTTAACGGTAATAAATTACTTAGCGACTCTTCTTCGTCATAATCATTATTATCAGATATGCTAAACGAAATCAAATTTCTTGAAAATAAATTTAAATCTTTAGGTATTTGTGAAATAAGAATGTTTATATGATTATAAATGCCTCGAACTTTGCGTTGATGATCATTTATTAGTTGATGTTCATATTTTGTCTCATTATCATTTAAAATATAAATTGCATATATTTGTGATAACTGATAAACAAGTTCAATAATCCATGATTCATTCGATAAAATGACAAATAAAACTTTTTCTATTTTAATTTTGATAATGTAATCAACACATTCATCAGCATTTTCAAAATTCATTTCATCGGGTAAGTTGACATGCAAACATATAACAATAAAATCTTTGGACAATTCACTTTTACTTGGTAATAATGATACATGCTGTGTTGATAACATAATTATCAAGATTAGAACGGATTTAGCTTGTTATTCAACAAAGAGAACTATATGTAACAGAAGAAAAAAAAATGCATCTCATATTACAAACTAAAAATAAAATAGACGTCTCTGTATCAAATAACAACTTTCAATGCATTGGTCAAATAAAACATCTCATATATTTTTGCTTTCTCTAACACATATAAAACAATTTTTTTTATGTATGTAGCTCATGCTGAGCCGCGATTAAAACTATTTTCACAACGGAAACGAGAAAGAGATAGCCGTATTATGAGTAGACGTTTGAAACGAAATAACTGACATTTGGAACCATCATATAGTACGAAGAAATGAATAACAGTAAACAACAGAAGATAAAAACATCTTGACAAAGACAGTTATAAAGAAAGCTAAAACACAAATACAAATTGTTCATATACATACAGATTGAGCCTTTGCGATAAATCATAATATGTACTACTTTTTGTGATACTCAAACAAACACAAGAAGTGAAGAAAGCGCACAAGAAATCTGCAATCATTTTGTCGTTGATGGTATAGTCGCAGTACAAAACAACATCACGGAGAGACTCTCGTAACAATTATCAAGAATTGTGTGTCTTGAGAATGTATATGAACAATTTGTATTTGTGTTTTAGCTTTCTTGTTGTTTTAGAATGGTCTGCTCTTATTCTACTCATGCCTTGATTTAGAATTCTTCCAATACATAAATCCGGCATTTTATACCACAGATAGATTCGCAATTATTTTGTCGTTGGTGGACAGAGAAATTAAAGCTAATAGTGGTACAGACGGATAACTGGAGAGAAAAACGGGATATTCAAAAAAACATGCCGAATACCTGAATCTTTCTTTCCGTAATATTTCTCTGTCATAAAGATTTCTGTTTTTCAAACCAGTTTTCTTTTTCGTTTTTTCTTCTAGAGAAAGAACATATATTTAAAGAAACATTAGGATTGCTAATATTTGCTGTAAGTGTAGGTGATAATAAACAATTCTGCTTATTTAAATGACAGGATTGCGCTTAACATCATGATATTCTTTTAAAACAACACTTTGTATATAAATATTGTCTTAAATTACATGAACGTAGTTGACTTTATTGAATAAAATATACGAGTATGTGTATCTGTCAGTTTTCAGTTATTAAAAAACTTCTTTCTCTTTCGATGCACCGTATACTATTCAGATCATTTACAGAGCAAACGAAGTGTATATTCAGTTTTGGTAATTATTATCATAACCGCGATGGTAGAATAAACGAAACTGCTACATTTTTACATCATTTTTATAATACTCCTACTTCAGCGAGAAAAGGAGAGACATCCCATTCTGTCTGGAATATAATGGAGTACAATTCGGATGGATTAGAACGAACGGTGAAGAGGGCTCTCAAGGTTTGGGAGCATTTTCACGACCTCATTTCTCCAAACCTACGGCTTAAAGTGCTCGAGAAGACTACCTTTTTGCACATTTAAATAGCTCTAAATGTGAGCTATATTTTGAGATAAAGCACAAAAGGAAGAATCTCGGGCCAACGATGAAAAGTGAATTTTACATTCAACTGCGTAAATCAATTGTACAAGTAATAGGTGCCGGTTTTAAGACATCACCCTTGGCGCAAAAGCTAGTACTTTCTTCAAGGTATAAAGTTATACTAAAAGATTTCTTTCGGTCAGACTGTAAAACACAGACAAAAATACATTTCGGCAACTAAACAGTCTCCTCGGTATGTGCCACCATACCTTCCTTACAGCTTCTACAACTTGGCAAAAAAACACGTTTAAACGATCAAAATTTTAAAGGGTGTAACAAAATTATAGGACCCCTTTTATTTTTGAAATATCTCAGCCAAAATAATAGCTAGGTCAACTCTAAATAGTGATTTGGATAGCCCTTGAAATTGTCTATCGAATACACTATGAGCCAAAATTACAAAACAAACTTTGTGACAAGAGTTTTCCAGAAAATTGTTCCGCTGAAATTTCAAGTCCTAGAGGAACTTGACTGAAATGTTTTCTAATATATCCATCTAAAGGAGCAAAACGTTTTTGACGCGAAACGTTTTCATAACCAGTTCACCTGGTGTCACACGTGGAATATATTTTTCACACGTGCCCACACACCATTTTACGATATTCACGTGCGACCACAATTCATTTCACGATATTCACGCGTGTACACACCGCGGTACCTACTAAAATTTCCGCATGGGTAAAGCCTCCTCATTACACAAACTTACAGATATTTTCCAACGTGACAAATAAAAAATTTATGCTGTAAGTTTCTCCGTTTTCAGGGGACAGTTCGTTTAATTCTAACCAGGTTCTGTTCTCCGAGTCTCTGTGTATCTTATCACGATTGGAAATTTTTAGAAACTGGCTCTGGACTGCGTCATAACGCTTAAATTTCAAACTAAAGGAGAAAACTGTGTCTTCTGCTGATACAAAACATTGAATAATTTGAAACAGAACTCCAAAGCAGAATTCATAGTATAATAGGTTCGAGCCGGGACTCTACTGTTCGAGTACAGTAAGCCTAGATATACCACAAGGTCACACATGATGAAGAAAATAATACGATTCTTCTATATTATTGTCGAAGAGAAACGAGTAGAGGAGAAAAACATTGAATTTCATAACCTACCGATATCAATAATCATTTTCTTGAGAGTTATGTCATTTTCTGTGAAGACAGCAATTGTTCTTTCTGTATTGTCACAAAGAACGTTGTTCCAAAAATAGTTTACTTTGCTTACTTGAAATATAGAAGCAATAGAAAAAACGAAGGTTGAAATGTTAAAATTATTTGTTAAAAGCTTTCTGGAAAACACTAATTATGACTTTCGGTTACAACCGCTTATCGGTTAACCGCAACAAGTGCATGCCTAGTTCTAACAAAGTACCTTTGAAACATGTGACGAACAACATAACCGTCCAGCCAAGCTGCATTTAATTTGACAATACTGGGCACAATGTTTCGTTCAAAAATGTTTTGAACAATTCACTGGTTATCTTGCAGTATACCAAATGTATTCCAATTTTTAAAATAGACAGGCTGATATAGCTGCGCTTGATTACTGTTATATTAACCTCACATTTATTGTTTCTTCGTGTACATATTCTAATAATCAATGAAGCCTATCGTGTGCTGACTAAATAAAGACTTCATGTTAAATTCGTACTCCCCAAGCAAAACCTCTCTAGCAGAAATATCTAGATGCCTTTGCTGGTGCATCGGCCGATTTTTTTTACTCATTTAGCTAGATGCAACTGCTGGAGCATCGGGTTATCTAGATGCATCGCTCGATGCACTTCTAGATACATCGATCAGTGTATCGCACAAATGTCGCCAGATATCGGTGAAATGAGGCATTCACCTTTTTATTTTGCGGATTACAGTCGATGCATCGGGCGATGCAGCTAGATAAGTCGATGCTCCAGCAGCAGCATCTAGCTAAATGAGTAAAAAAAATCTAGTTATCTAGCTGCATCTAGTAACTTTCCCAGCAGAAAAAAAAGCGATGCGGGGTCGTTTTTTTTAGCTTGGGTCGTAATATAGTATAGGGGAGGCTGTTTTGAACTCGTACGAGTTTAAAAACTTGGTGTTGTAGTGTTCATGTCCATTCACTCTCATCATACCATCCTTCCCTCCCCGGCACTCCCACTCCTGATGAACATCTCTCCCCTATGCTATATTAGAACATAACACAGTTTTGAACTCGTAACATGTTTTTAAACTCGTAAGAGTTCAAAACAGCCTTCCAGCCTCCCCTAAACTATATTAGAAAGTGACAATCATTTGGACTCAAAACAACTTTCCAGTCTAAAAGAAGACGTTAGTATTTTTCTTCTCGTAACGAGTTTAAAGACTGCAACCCGCACGTCTTTCCTGATAAAAACCGCGTTTTAAGCGTAATAAGAAAACGCATCTCAACACAGGTCCTATTGGCATTGAGACACGGGCTACAGGAGAAGTCATGTGCCCATTGATACACCCGATGTCAGACTGGCTATTAGAGAAATGGTCGGATATCGATGTATTAACTACCACGCACTGAAAACACGTTTTTATATATTGTTATTTTTTCTTGATAATGAAATTTTAAATTTCAGAACATCGATTTCTATATATGTAAAGTAACTTTATGCTCATTTTAATTACATATATATATTTTATTCAATTACTAATGGCATATCTAGTAGCCGTTGTTGCTCTTAGTTTTTTACTGAAAATATTGCTCCTACGAAAGCAAAATGTTTAAAAACAAATATGAAATATCCTCAGTTAAATTTTCCATAGGAAACGATTTTTATGTATTTCAAAAAAAATATTTATCATAAGATTTTAGCTGAACATTATAAACAAGTATAATATTGAATAAAAACGTTTAGAAATGCATACACTCCTATAGGTAAACTAATTTAGTTGTTGAAAATAAGCGTAAAGAATATACCCTAAATTCCATATTTCAGTTGAATCCTTAACGCAAAGCGGTTTAACTATTATGAGGCGATTGTTAGTTAGTAGAAAAAAGACACTTCTTCTACAAAATGAGATATTTCGTGTATATGTCGGATACTTGGTTAGAATGTTAGATAACACGAAGAAGCTTTTCGTGATATACTGTGACCACGATTTATTCTAGCCAATGCAAAGTTCGAAACAATAATTTAACACCTGTCTAGAACATTTCATTTTGTAGAGGAAGCCGTTTTCTAACAAGGTACAAAGTTTCGAAAAATATGTTCCCATTTAACACAATATATTACAAGTCCTTCTCTTCTTGTGATCAGGAATCACGATCTCTACTTACGAGGGTCTGAGATATACCAACCCAAATACTAAATCATCTTATTGTTTTAAAAATCCAAGCATACCATTTAGTTCACAACACCGGATTAATTATAAACACACTTTTCTTTTTAAAAAAGGATGGTGAGCACTAAACTTTCACAATAGATTCCAGAAAACTCATCATTTCTTCTTTTATCTTC